GCCTGACCATCCCTCTGCCTGATCCTCGGTACCGCGCTGCCCGCTACCTGCTGAACCTGGCTTGTGACCCCGACCATTCTCTGCTTGCTACCACGCTGCCCGCACGATACGGACCCGGCCTGTCTGACTACGCTTACTTCACCCGACGATCCATCCATCCCGCACGGATCACCTTTAGTACAGTGGGGATCGAAAATGTTTGGGCACCCCAGCTAAAAATTTGTATTAATGTGCATAAAGAAGCCAAGGAAAGATGGAAAAATCTCCAAAAGGCATCAAATTACAGATTAGACATTCTTATAATATGTCAACAAAAGTTAGATTTTATTTCCATCATTTATACTTTCAAAATAACAGAAAACCAAAAAATGGCATCTGCAAAAGTTTGGGCACCCTGCAGAGTTAATATCTTGTACTGCCCCCTTTGGCAAGTATCACAGCTTGTAAACGCTTTTTGTAGCCAGCCAAGAGTCTTTCAATTCTTGTTTGAGGTATCTTTGCCCATTCTTCCTTACAAAAGTCTTCCAGTTCTTTGAGATTTCTGGGCTGTCTGTCACGCACTGCTCTTTTAAGGTCTATCCATAGATTTTCAATTATGTTGAGGTCAGGAGATTGTGAAGGCCATGGCAAAACCTTCAGTTTACGCCTCTTGAGGTAATCCCCCGTGGATTTCGAGGTGTGTTTAGGATCATTATCCATTTGTAGAAGCCATCCTCTCTTTAACTTCAGCTTTTTCACAGATGGCATCAAGTTACCATCCAAAATTTGCTGAAATTTTATTGAATCCATTTTTCCTTCTACTCGTGAGATGTTCCCTGTGCCACTGGCTGCAACACAACCCCAAAGCATGATTGATCCAACCCCATGCTTAACAGTTGGACAGAGGTTCTTTTCATTAAATTCTGTGCCCCTTCTTCTCCAAACGTACCTTTGCTCATTCCGGCCAAAAAGTTCAATTTTAACCTCATCAGTCCACAGAACGTGTTTCCAAAATGCATCAGGCTTGTCTATATGTTCATTTGCAAAGTTCAAACGATGATTTTTGTGGTGAGGACGTAGAAGAGGGTTTTCTTCTGATGACTCTTCCATGAAGACCATATTTGTACAAGTATCTCTTTATAGTGGAATAGTGTACCACAACTCCAGTGTCTGCCAGATCTTTCTGGAGGGATCGTGCAGTCAAACGTGGGTTTTGAATTGTTTTTCTCACAATCCTGCGAGCTGTTCTGTCTGATATTTTTCTTGGTCTTCCAGATCTTGCTTTAACTTCCACTGTTCCTGATGACTGCCATTTCTTAATTATATTCCGAACAGATAATATTGACATCTGAAAACGCTTTGCTATCTTCTTATAGCCTTCTCCAGCTTTGTGAGCTTCAACTATTTTCAGTTTCAGTTTTCTAGACAACTGCTTAGAAGAACCCATGGTGCCGATTGTTGGGGCAAGGTCAGATGAGTCTGGGCATTTAAAACCTTTGAGCTTGACATCACCTGGTCTTCCCAGACGATGATTGAGAACAATCCATGACACTGGCAGGTCTCAGCTTGGCAAAGGGAGCAGTGCATGTTATAAATTCTGCAGGGTGCCCAAACTTTTGCAGATGCCATTTTTTTGTTTTCTGTTATTTTGAAAGTGTAAATGATGGAAATAAAATCTAACATTTGTTGACATATTATAAGAATGTCTAATCTGTAATTTGATGCCTTTTGGAGATTTTTCCATCTTTCCTTGGCTTCTTTATGCACATTAGTACAAATTTTTAGCTGGGGTGCCCAAACTTTCGATCCCCACTGTAAGTCTGCCTGCCTCTTCCCATCAGACTCCGTTCCTGCACTCCCCTGCCAGTACTCTCTACCACAGCCGGACGCACTCAGGGGTCGCGACCTGGTTCCAGTCTGCACCAAGTCCATCCCCACCATCAGGGGCCCTGGTGAATAGCAGGCTGGGACTTAGACCCCGCGCCCTGAGGAAATCCATGCTGTGGGCTGCTAGAGACATTGCCAGGCGGCACCTGACAGTACCTTACGGCCTGCCTGACCATTCCACCTCTCCAGCCTGACTACGCCTGTGTTCCTGAAGCCTGCTACTTCCCTGTGTCAGTCCACACATTTCTGGTCATTCCCGGATCCCTAACAGTGTGGTCCCCTTTCAAAATTCACTAACGCTTTCCACAAATGAAACAGTGAAGTGGCGAGCGAGTGGCCAGATATGATTATTGCACCACATCGCTTAAAATTGCAAATAATCAATAGAGAAGATGGGACTTTCAGGGTGCATAGACATGAATACCACACATTAAAAGTTATATAATTTTTATTTCATATTTTGGTAAAACACAAGAGAGGAAAAAATACAAAAACATAAAAACAATTTCAATTCTAAGAATACCAACTGAGATTCAAACTTGGTTAGGTAATTTTTTTTTGAGGTAGAAATTTCCTCAAAAAATCTTCCCTGAAGAAGCCTCTGAGGGCGAAACATGTAGAGAGTATACTACATTTACTAACCAAGTTTGAATCTCAGTTGGTATTCTTAGAATTGAAATTGTATTTTTTCCTTTCTTGTGTTTTACCAAAATACGAAATAAAAACTATATAACTTTTAATGAGTGGTATTCATGTCTATGCACCCTGAAAGTCCCATGTTCTCTATTGATTGCTTTCCACAAATGTTCATTCTCTCTTTCTAGGGTCCCTTCTCTTCTTCAAAGGCCAGTATACTATGAACAGATTTTTCAGTTTTGCATGGGTGTTGTGGGCAAATACACAACACAGCAAGATACATTCACAATATTTCCAAACTCTGAACCTTGCAGCAATTATTACGATGATTTCTCACTTTTTCTACTGAATGTATTTTTTATTTTATATGACAAACATTGCAGGAATAGAAGTGTGACCAGCTTGATTAGCTTTTTTAATGACTAAAGTAGGTGTCACAACTGAGGAATCTGGCTGGGAGATCATGATATAGGAAGCCAGTGATTTAACCCCATAGTCTGCACCTATAGTTGAAATATTTATTTCAAGTAAGAAGCAGGATTGCTTAATTGTTAATTATGTTACTGACACACATTAAAGTGGTTCTACAGTTGCAAGGTTTATCACCTAAATATATTGCCTGCATTAAGGCTAAAACCTCTCACTTTCTGTTTTCACCCCCCAGCCCCTAAATATCGTCAAATATCGATCCAATGCTGTGCCCATCTGCAGCAGAGCTGCTCTTTATCCCTGGTCTCACAGGGCAAATTGCTAGCAGTGGAAGACATTGGCTCCTGGTGCTGTCAATCAAAGTGGAGGTGGGGCTGAGCTGCGCTGTGTGTTTCTATAGACAAATCTGCAAAATCTGGTGCAGCTGTGCATGGTAGCCAATCAGGTTCTAACTTTAGCATGTTCAATTAAGCTTTGACAAACGACTGGTTTCTATGAAGAGCTGCACCAGATTTTGCACTTTACAGTTTTAGTAAATCAACCCCACAGAGTCCAGCTTGGGAGAGAGCCCACACATCTGCCTTTATAGTAAGGGTGGCAGACACTGAAGAGGAGGAGTAGATAGCACTGGGGGGGGGGACCCAAAACGAAGAAGTGTGGGGCCACTCTGTGCAATACCAGTGCACAAAGCAGGTAAGTGTAAACCTCTTCTTTATTTTACTTTATCACTTTAATTATACAAGCTATCTAAATCCAGGTAAGGCACTGTCTGAATCTAATTAGCCACAAAATCTGTTTAGTTACGATGCGTCAGTAAGGACCCATCCAAACCTGCATTTTCAAGCATCGCGATGCCATATTTATCTGTATGGAAGTATGTCTGTAATGGCTTTCATTTATCCAAGCCATGGTACAGCTGGTAGTAGTTAGTCACATCCAAATGGACTTGTTGATGGTTCTAAATTGTTGAAAAAATGTTAGTACTCATCCAAGCAGAATCCTCACTTCTAAGGAGCTTCAGGGATATACTGTACCTCAGTATTTAAATCCAAATGGGTCACAATGATTCTCTGAGAGCATAATGGGAAGTGTGAAGGTTTCAGAAATGTAAAAGTTTGTGCAATTTCATGTGACCATTGTGCCTGAATTAGCTACTTAGAACAATGTGGTTTTACAAACCTTCACACCTCCCATTATGTTCTTGGACAATCAACATCTGCTTTGACACATTATATGGTAACTGGATTAAGGTGACTGGTTTGGCTATAAATGCTGGGGTTTGTTCCTGATACCCATTAGAACAGAAAACTTGGATGAGTAGCAAAATGTCATTACATAGCAAGTCCAATTAAGTGTGACTAAAAACTACTAGCTATCTCTATGGAAGATCTGTTTGCTGGATACTGCACCAAACACTGCAGTAGAGAACATTGGCAAGAACTAGAGCTTAAGTACAGAGACAAGTTCACAACTCTGGTGTACAGGTGACGCTTGCCAAGAGCTTACACATGTTGGAACTTGCTTGCAACTTGCTCTGTGCACACAAACACATTCTATGGACAAAACCACTGAGATCAAGCGTGATTCCCCTTCAACCACTGGCCCTCCGCATAACTTCCCATCTGCTTCCACGTAGCAGCCTTGATTGACGAGCCATCATGTCCATCTGCATAGGTTTCTATTATTGTAAAAATGACAGCTAAAATTTGATTGGTTGCCACAGGCAACATCTCCATTTTCTATGTGTTACTTTTAGGAAACCAGTCCAATGGGTTTCTGAGGCCCTTTGATTCATTTAAAGTTTTCTCATTTGTATTCCTGAGGATCTGTGTATTATTATCATTGATGGTATGGCAGGGAAAGTCAGTGTCTCTTTTTCTACCAGACTTAAATAACAGCTGTACAGTTTAAGTTGTGCTTTATCCTGCCTTTAAAATAGACAGCTAAGCTGCTGAGGTTTGGTAATACAGATTATTGGATATCCTTGTAAGAGTCCTGGTTCCTGGGTTTTTTTTCCTTTTTAAGCATTAGAAGCGTGCAAAAAGAGTACAACATTTTCCTGCAATCGGTTACAGATGTATGGCAACAGCAAATACATTCACGATACAATACATGGTCCGATTTTCCCACCTCACTGTGCAACTCCCTGAAAATTAGATAATAAAAGATTATTGAAAACAGAAACAAACACTAAAAGCCCACTAACATTAAAGTGTATCTTTATGCAAAACCTAGAGAGACCCTGGGGAGAGTCAATCCTCAATTTGTCCTAGAGACCATCATTATCTATAAGGAAAGTTAGGGAGGGATCCAAAATGTTTAATTTATACCTAGAGATGAAGGGAAATGTTCCACTGGGGACATGTGAACAACTTTCTAAGTGGGGAATGGCCCTCACTTTTCCTGTTGTGCTTTGAGGGATTTCCTGTTGTTCACAGTAAGTGAACAGAAATTTCCCCAATGACACACAGACATCCACAACAGATATGTGTCTTTTCATCAATGGGAGTAAGGCTGGCCATACACTATACAATTTTCTGTCCAATTTCCATTACATTTACCTTCAACTATGTAGGCCAGGGCCTGCCTACTTGGATACAACCGAAAGTGTTGTTTGGGTTTGACCTCATATTATATGGTTTTTGGTAAATCTAAAGCAAAAATCTCATGAAAATTGTATAGTGTATGGCCATCCTAAGTACTTATCAGTGCTGACAGGGACAGGATACAGAAGTCCCAATTCACACTAGTGTGACTCTGCACAGAATCACATGACAAGGAAAATCACATTGTATTCAATGATGCCCGTTCTAATCAATGTGACCTAGCATGGTGCAATTTTGGAAAAGGTTTTTGCACTACTTTGGTGCAATTTACAGTGTGACCCCATAGAACAGTGGTCTCCAAACTGTGGCCCGGAGGCCGAATGTGGCCCACCAATGATGGGGCACTGTTCCTCCCACAGACACCAATGATGGGGTGCTATTCCTCCCACTGATATTAACAATGGGGCACATTTATTCCCAAAGAAGGCACTATTCCTCCCACTAAAACCAATGATGGAGTATTTTCTACTCCCACTGCTAACAGAGAGCCCCCTAAAATCTGAAGGACATTAAACTGGCCCTTTGTTTATAAAGTTTGGAGACCTCTGCCATAGAATATACAAAGTTGCATCAAAGTTGCTCGGCAGAGTCGCACTGAAAATTGCATCAAAGTCGCACTGCAGTAGTGTGAACTGAGCCTAATTATGCTGCATGATTTAGAACAGTGTTAATGCTCAGGTGAGGCTACTGAGCTAGGGAATTGAGTGGTAGAGCCAAACTCCAGAAATTTCCAAAATTCACCCATGCATGCTCTATCACTTACCCGTCTCACCCTTCCAGTACTCTCCTCCTTTGCCTGGAGTGCAGCTGGCAGAAAAATGCCTCTAGCATTGCATATTTCTACATGTTAATGCGTGCATATATGTGCGTATATATGTGCGTGCGTATACAGTGCCTTGAAAAACTATTCATACCCCTTGAAATTCTCCACATTTTGTCATGTTACAACCAAAAACTGTATTTTATTGTGATTTTATGTGATGGACCAATACAAAGTGGAACATAACTGTGAAATGGAAGGAAAATGATAAATGGTTTTCAAAATTTTTTACAAATAAATATCTGAAAAGAGTGGCGTGCATTTGTAATAAGCCCCCTTTACTCTGATACCCCTAACTAAAATCTAGTGGAACCAATTGTAAATAGAGTCCACCAGTGTGTAATTTAATTTCAGCATAAATACAGCTGTTCTGTGAAGCCCTCAGAGGTTTGTTAGAGAACATTAGTGAACAAACAGCATCATGAAGGCCAAGGAACACACCAACAGGTCAGGGATAAAGCTGTGGAGAAGTTTTAAGCAGGGTTAGGTTATAAAAAAAATCCCAAGCTTTGAACATCTCGCAGAGCACTGTTCAATCCATCATCTGAAAGTGGAAAGAGCATGGCACAACTGCAAACCTACCAAGACATGGTCGTACACCTAAACTGACAGGCCGGGCAAGGAGGGCATTAATCAGAAAAGCAGCCAAGAGGCCCATGGTAATTCTGGAGGAGCTGCAGAAATCCACAGTTCAGGTAGAAGAATCTGTCCACAGGACAACTATTAATTGTGCACTCCACAAATCTGGCCTTTATGGAAGGGTGGCAAGAAGAAAGTCATTGTTGAAAGAAAGCCATAAGAAGTTCCATTTTCAGTTTGCAAGAACCACGTGGGGGACACAGCAAACATGTGGAAGAAGGTGCTCTGGTCAGATGAGACCAAAATTTAACTTTTTAGCCTAAAAGCAAAACGCTATTTGTGGCGGAAAGCTAACACTGCACATCAACCTGAACACACCATCCCCACTGTGAAACATGGTGGTGGCAGCATCATGTTGTGGGGATGTTTTTCTTCAGCAGGGACAGGGAAGCTGGTCAGAGTTGATGGGAAGATGGATGGAGCCAAATACAGGGCAATCTTAGAAGAAAACCTGTTAGAGTCTGCAAAAGACTTGAGACTGGAGCAGAGGTTCACCTTCCTGCAGGACAACGCCCCTAAACATACAGCCAGAGCTACAATGGAATGGTTTAGATGAAAGCATATTCATGTGTTAGAATGGCCCAGTCAGATTCCAGACCTAATTACAATTGAGAATCTGTGGCAAGACTTGAAAATTGCTGTTCACAGACACTCTCCATCCAATCTGACAGAGCTTGAGCTATTTTGAAAAGAAGAATGGGCAAAAATGTCACTCTCTAGATGTACAAATCTGGTAGCGATATCCCTGAAAAGACTTGCAGCTGTAATTGCAGCAAAAGGTGGTTCTACAAAGTATTGACTCATGGGGACTGAATACAAATGCATGCCACACTTTTCACATATTTATTTGTAAACAAAAATTAAAATCTATTTATCATTTTCCTTCCACTTCACAATTATGTGCCACTGTGTGTTGGTCTATCACATAAAATCCCAATACAATACATTTAAAATTTTGCTTTTAACATGACAAAATGTGGAAAATTTCAAGGGGTATGAATACTCTTTCAAGGCACTGTAAGAATGCATAGAATTTATAAGCATCTCTTGGCTAGAACATTCATTTATTTCAGCCATTATAATAATTACAAGCATACATTCGTTTACACGTTTATGTGTGTACAAATGTGCACATAAACACTTGCATGTGTATGTTCACATGAAATAACATGCAGCTGAGTTCACGGGCATAAAGAAAATTCCAGATGTCCCTGGTGGGAGCATTTTTTCTGTCCGTGTGCACGAGCAGTTAAAGAGGCAGTTGCAGGGAACTGGTTCGCAGCACTGGAGGGATCCTGCTGGAGCAAGGAATAAGGAAAGTATTGCTTCTTATTCCTCTACCTCTAGACATAAAGAGCATTTAACCCTTGTAATGCTTGGCACTGCAAGAATACATATTTTGCTATTCCTGGAGTTGGAGAAGTTTAGAGGTTAAGTCAAAGGTTATGCTGTGGGGGGTAAGGGTTGGGTTAAGTTAATGTGAGAGTTAAAATTAAGTGCTCAGTTTAGGGGTTAAAATGACTCATAATTAAAAAGTTAAAAAAGAAGACAAGTCTGCAAAGAAGCTCACTGCTACTACTGCTCACCTCACTGCTACTTCTAAAAATTGCTGAAAAATCTTCTGCACCCAACACATTGGGAATGCATGTTTCCTAAACTCTGCTCAGTGGTTTCATCTGCCAGTTCCTACATCAATAGAGGACACAGTACTGACATAGGTACGCACGTTCCTAACCCCAGACACTACTAAACAACTCATTCACTCCCTTATTATCTCACGTCTGGACTACTGCAACTCCCTTCTCACCGGCCTACCTCATCACAGACTATCCCCGCTCCAGTCTATCCTGAACTCAGCGGCCAGACTCATCCACCTTACCAACCGCTCCACTTCTGCCACCCCCCTCGGTCATTCCCTCCACCGGCTCCCGATTGCCCAACGCATTGAATTCAAACTACTAACATTGACATACAAAGCCATTCATAACGCTTCCCCAAACTACCTCACCGACCTGATACCCAAATACCACCCATCCCGTAATCTTCGCTCCTCACAAGACCTCCTACTTTCTAGCTCCCTGGTCTCCTCCCACGCCCGACCGCAGGACTTCGCCAGGACTTCCCCCATCCTCTGGAACTCTCTACCCCCAATCCATCAGACCGTCACCTACCCTCCTCACCTTCAGGCGCACCCTGAAAACCCATCTCTTCAGGGAAGCCTCACCTAACAGCCAATCTCCTCCACTCCTTCTACCACTCCATCCCCCACAGCTATCTCCTCCTGTACCACTCTCCCCTCCCTCCTAGATTTCAAGCTCGAAAGAGCAGGGCCCTCGAACCCCTCGTGTATTGTTTTGTTACTATATTGTCTCATGTACTGTCCCCCACTATAATGTACAGAGCTGAGCAAACCTTTTGGCGCTATATAAATACTGTATAATAATAATAGGCACCAGTAGAAGGAACCACTGAATGCAATGGGGGCGTATCTCTAAAAAACATCAGGAGATGTACGTAATAATGCATTCCTTTGCAGGCTGGGCTTTTTATGCAGTTTGAAATACAGAAAGAATGCAATTAATTTTAAAATGACTCTTTTCTTTGCCCATGCAGTATTGTTATATTGATAGACAAAAAAAAATATGTCCACCACTGGGGATACCAATTTTCAACATGTTCAATGAACAGGCACCCTTGTGCAGTTACATAAAAAGGAAATGCTGACATCCTAAGACATGCAAGGCCTCACAGATAGTAATTAAATGTTATTAGTGAAAATCATTCTTTAAAAGGAAAAAAAGTCGACTTCAGCAACGCAGTCTTGGATAATGACAATACCATGAAGTGTCAGTATCATGACTTCTGTAGGTAGGCTCAGTCAATGACAATCACAATGTTACAATTGTAGCTAGGCAGTAAGCATCATCTGTACCCATCGGGCCACAATCACTCTGCAAGCTGCTGGAAAATGTACCTGTCTCTTTTTGGTTTCTAGATGGAGAAAAATGAGTCAAGGCCTAGAGATGATGGTATACAACTGACCCACATTTTGCCATCTCTGCTCTATGCAACTGCCATGGCTGGTCTTATTATATAGGAATATGGGATGGAAACAAAACCTTGCTGTTGTGAAATCAATAAGTATCAGGCTGCAGATGCTCCACTGGAGCTATCCTCCTGAGTAAAGGCTGCAATCTGCATTTGGTGTAAAGTGGTATTAGAAAAGCAAATGAACATTTGAAAAACCCTGTAACATATTAAGACAGGGGTCTCCAAACTTTCTAAACCGAGGGCCAGTTTACTGTCCATCAAACTTTATGGGTGCCGGACTGTGATCATGGGGCGTAGAAAAGGTCCCAGCTTCAGTGGGGAAAAAAATGCCCCATCTTTGGTGTCAGTGAAAGGAATAATGCCCCATCGTTGGTGTCATTGGGAGGAATGGTCCCCCTTCATTGGTGTTATTGGGGGAATTATGCCCCATTGTTAGTATCAGTAGATGAAATTGTGCCCCAGGGGTGGAAAAATGCAAGCAAAGGGCCACATCTGGTCCAAGGGCAGCAGTTTGGAGACCACTGTATTAAGATATATGTTTAAAGTGGAACTAAACCTACAATTACAAAAACTGCATGTCGTCTAATGAATGTACACTGTGGCTATGCTCACTCCTGTGCGCATGAAAGGGATCACTCCATTCCCTGCCAGCCAATCAAGAAGCGAAAAAAAAAAAACAGGCACCAGAATTACCCGGGGAGACAATGACATTAGCCAGCAAAGGATGCAAATGCTGCAACACTGGAAGGTGCTGGTGTGTTTATTGTGGAGCTTAGTTCCACTTTAATCTATTTCTCATTGGCTACTAGCCAGGAGTGAGTAGGCTTTAGGAGATTAACATAATCATGACACAAAACTCTATATTTGTGAAGACCCTCATATTCAAATCTATAACCCTAATAAAGCTGGCTTATCTGTTCAAACCCTTCCATTGGCTCTACATAGGAATTACCATCAGTGGTGTTATCCCAGAAGGAAGAGCTTGCTGAATGAAGACCACCGCCTCGTTTTTGCATAACTGTACAGGTTACTGGGGGGGGGAAAAAGAGACAAACATATGATGTTGGTAGAGATTCAAATAGCCCAATACATAAAAAATGTGCTTTTGTGTGTAAAGAATACATTAGTACACAGATCCAAAACCTGAGCTGTGAACACAAAAATGAATAAATTACCTTAAAATTGTATATTTCTGCGCTAATAAAACTCAATATTACGCGTGAGACTCAAAATTATATGTGAAGCAATCAAAAAAAAAAAATTCACATATTTACATTAACAGTGCATCAATACAAATATAAACAATGTGAACATAACTCCAAAAAACATGACTTTGTGCAAACTTTGTGATAGAGTTCGAAGCAGTCCAACTCACTTGTGGTATAAAATGACAACGTTCAGTCTCTAAGTGAAACCTTCATCAATCTCTCCCGGGAACTCTCTCATCTTACATATTTGATCCTCACCACAAAAGTCAAATGCACATATTTGTTTAAATCCAGCAACAGTATGGAAACAGGTAAATAGAGCTATCACAGACTCCTCTCAATGGGGCTTGACCCTCACACAAGAACCTACAGCATGTATTTTCTTAATTCTAGGACCAGACAGCAGGTGGATTGTTAGACCCAGCCACTCAGATACAGTGAGGAACAGAAGTATTTGAACACCCTGCGATTTTGCAAGTTCTCCCACTTAGAAATCATGGAGGGGTCTGAAATTCACATTGTAGGTGCATTCCCACTCTGAGAGACAGAATTAAAAAAAAAAAATTCAGGAAATCACATTGTATGATTTTTAAAGAATTTATTTGTCTTGCACTGCTGAACATAAGTATTTGAACACCTAAGAAACAGCAAGAATTCTGGCTCTCAAAGACCTGTTACTGTGCCTTTAAAAAGTCCACCTCTACTCCACTCATTAATCTAACTTAGTAGCACCTGTCTGAGCTCTTTAAAGACACCTGTCCACCCCACAGTCAGTCAGACGCCAACTACTACCATGGGCAAGACCAAAGAGCTGTCAAAAGACACCAGAGACAAAATTGTGGACCTCCACAAGGCTGGAAAGGGCTACGGGACAATTGCCAAGCAGCTTGAAGAAAATAGATCAACTGTTGGAGCAATTGTTAGAAAATGGAAGAGGCTAAAGACGACTGTCAGTCTCCCTCGGACTGGGGCTCCATGCAAGATCTCACCTCGTGGGGTATCACTGATGATAAGAAAGGTGAGGAATCAACCCAGAACTACAAGGGAGGAGCTGGTCAATGACATGAAGAGAGCTGGGACCACAGTTTCAAAGGTCACTGTCGGTAGAACACTACGCCATCATGGTTTCAAATCATGCATTGCACGGAAGGTTCCCCTGCTCAAGTCATCACATGTCCTAGGCCCGTCTGAAGTTTGCCCAATGACCCTCTGGATGATCCAGAGGAGGCATGGGAGAAAGTCATGTGATCAGATGAGACCAAAGTAGAACTTTTTGGTCTAAATGTCACTCGTCGTGTTTGGAGGAAAAAGGATGAGTTGCATCCCAAGAACATCATCCCTACTGTGAAGCATGGGGGCGGTAACATCATGCTTTGGGGGTGCTTTTCTGTGAAGGGGACAGGACGACTGCACTGTCATCATGCTTTGGGGGTGCTTTTCTGCGAAGGGGACAGGACCACTGCACTGTATTAAGGAGAGGATGAATGGGGCCATTTATTGTGAGATTTTGAGCAACAACCTCCTTCCCTCAGTCAGAGCATTGAAGATGGGTCGTGGCTGGGTCTTCCAACATGACAAACGACCCGAAGCACACAGCCAGGATAACCAAGGAGTGGCTCCGTAAGAAGCATATCAAGGTTCTGGAGTGGCCAAGCCAGTCTCCAGACCTAAATCCAATAGAACATCTTTGGAGGGAGCTGAAACTCTGTGTTGCTCAGCGACAGCCGGCGTTATTAGAAGAACCTGGGCGTATCCCGAAACCTGACAGATTTAGAGGAGATCTGTGTGGAGGAGTGGGCCAAAATCCTTGTTGGTGTGCAAACCAGGTCAAGAACTACAGGAAACGTTTGACCTCTGTAATTGCAAACAAAGGCTTCTGTACCAAATATTAACACTAATTTTCTCAGGTGTTCAAATACTTATGTTCAGCAGTGCAAGACAAATAAATTCTTTAAAAATCATACAATGTGATTTCCTGAATTTTTTTTTTTAATTCTGTCTCTTAGAGTGGGAATGCACCTACAATGTGAACTTCAGACCCCTCCATGATTTCTAAGTGGGAGAACTTGCAAAATCGCAGGGTGTTCAAATACTTCTGTTCCTCACTGTATACAGTATATCAGGCCAGAGGGCTAAAAAGAAAGCAAATGAAAAATATAGTGCTCACTGCCATACATTTAATGATTAAAACCAAGCATTAAACATGAGTCTTGGGATGCTGATGTCTATGGGCTGGAGGAGTTTGGCTACTGGCTGGCATGATTTGCAGAAGACCATATACAGACAGTGAAACTTGAGCAATATGGACTGCTGTAAACTCTTCATCACAAAGTTTGCACAACCTTATAGGTATGTTCACATTGTTTATATTTATAATGATACGCTGTTAATGCAAATATGTAATTATTTTATTTTGATTGTTTTACATATAATATTTCACATACAGTATGTGTTCAATATACATTTACCTTTTCACAGAGGTTAAACAACGTCAAGAGGCTGGCATTTCAAAATAGCAACCAAAATATATAAGGTATACACTTTGAAAAAACATTCTGACCACAATAGGACTTTAGATTGCGGTACATATTCTACATATTCCTAACAATTAGTAAATGAGCTTTAAAACAAGCCCCCTGGCCTGTGTAGCAGCAGGCATTGTCAAGCAATTCATGCTCATTCAGAGCAGAAGGACTAAATGTGTTCCTGTGCAGGGGCGGACTGACAAACTCATGGGGCCCACGGGCAATAGGGGATCATGGGGCCCCTGTGTCCTTGCCCAAATTCAAAAAAGCCTATGAAAAAGGTACCAGGGGCATCTCATTAGGCCCCCTACTGTCCCGGGCCCTCGGGCAGTGCCCGAGTTTTCAAATGGTCAGTCCGCCCCTGTTCCTGTGTTCTCTCAGTAGCTCAGCTCATCCTGATCCCCATCCAAGCTGTTACTTAGCAGATTTCCAGACTTCTAATCTCTATTGAAAACACAAAGTGGGTGTTCTAGGGGCCAGTTATCCCTGAACTGTGCAGTGCTATGAATTCATTAACAAATGGAACATGCTGATTGGAGGAAAGAGAGTACAAGGAATGTCCTTAGATAAGTGACTCTTTTGCTATCCAATCACAACCTATACCAACATGTATTGCTTTGACTGCAGTTGATTAAAGTAAATGGTAGGAGCTTTGTAGTTTGATAAAATGAGTTACAATGTAACACAATCACGTATATATTTCTACTGTGTATCAAGCCGTTTGCCAAATAAGCAATCCTATTAAAAACTGCCAGGACAAGTTTTAAAATGATGAGTAAAGGTTTTGGTGTGATCAAGCTTGCTTGGAACTCATCCTCCCATATGAAATGAATCATTTGAAAGCAAAGGTAGCAAAAGAAAGTATAGCAAGTACTTATTACAGTTCTGATCAGACAGCAGCAGTTTTATGCCACAGCCTAGCCCAGGCGTGAGATAATTAAAGTCGCTCTGTCACGGTGGTGGAGGGAGCTCAGTGCTGCAATTACGAATCTCAAAGTGCTTGTGCATTACTGCAGAAGCCTGTAAGCAGGTGCTTACTAAGCTATTGTCAGTATTGTTATGTTGTATGTTTTTTGTTTTTCTGTAAATGTTTTGACTAATAACTGGTACTAAACTTGTGCACTGTTTAGTTGTGTTGTCCTACTGAGTTGGTGCCTCTTGAGAATCAAGGGTTAATGTTACTGGTCAGATTTTCCTGGGCTTTTTGGGAGATACCACCCTTTGCTGGAGCAAGTAGTTAAAGTGATTGTAAAGGTTCAGCATTTTTTTTTTTTTAAATAACACACATGTTAAGCTTATGGTTTTGCACAGTGCAACCATGATCCTCCTCTTCTCAGGTCCCCGACCAGCGCTCCTTGCACCTCCCTGTGCACGCTCCTCCCCAAGCCATCTCTGTGTCTCTTGAGATACACCAAGCACAACTTGGCCCCATCCCCTTGCTCTCTCCTCACTGGCTGTGGTTGACAGCAGTAGGAGCCAATGGCTCCCGCTGCTGTGTCTCAGCCAATGAGGAGGCAGAGACCCAGGAGAGCTTCTGCTCTCGTGCACATCACTGGATTGGGCTCAGGTGAGTATGGGGGGGGGGGAGCTGCACAGTGAAGGTTTTTTTATCTTTATGCATATAATGAATAAAAGTAAAAAAACCTTTAGTCTTTAGAACCACTTTAAAAGAGGGAACCACCTCTAGTTGTCATTGTCGGTCCAAGTCACTCCATGTATGAATAGATAGCAGAAGCTCTACAAACCATGTGATTGCTGCTTTGCTTGATCTCACCCCTAGGTGGGAACCCAATCGGAGTTCTAGGACTCTTAGACTTATACAACTGCCTGTGGACTTTAAAGACTTCCATTCTTCAGAAGGTATAACTACCTAAATGGGTGGAGAAAGCACTTATAATAGAAATGGATGTCTGTGAATGAACAAGCTGTAATGTCTTGTTGTACTTAACCAACTTTAGCAAAGAACTTGTTAAAGTACATTGACTTGATCTGAAGTTATTTAAGAACGAACTTAAAGGGGTGCATGTAAGGCATATCCCATATATGGTTCACACACAGGGAACAATACAATACCAGTACCAGTGTCTGATCAATGGTCAAGCTAACCAGAACAGACTATACTGCTGTTGCTAAAGGACTACAGTGCTAGTGTCTATGTGCAGATAGTAGCCAGCTGGTCAGGAAGTTGAGGTGATTTGGCCCTGGTAGCAAAGGAACTTGTGTGCTCAAAGTCCTTCCCTAAAGATTGGTCCCCCATCTTGATCTGACTTGCGGTACCGGGCATCCTAGGGGCCCAGCCTGGAGGTCACGGAAGAAGAGTGAGGAGTTCTGAATGGAATTGAGCTTCCTGGGATTCAAGTTTAAACACAAATAGAATACAAGTTAAACATGCGCATCAATATCACTGGGATGGGGTGCCAGGTAACTGGGCTGGTGGAGTCCAGTGTATTATGTGGCACTGGCTCAGAAAATGCTGCAGCATGGAAGAGACAAAAGTGTGAAGAAGAATACAAACCACTGTCTGTCTGGAGAAGTGCCAGCCATTTACGGAGAGCACCGCCATAAGACTAGTCATATGTTTCAGCATATGCCTCTGTCAGCCTCTAGGGGCATGATAGTGCATCCCTCCCCCATCCCTATCTGGGCACACAAGCCTCCTTAGGTAAAGCATTGACACTTTCTGGTAATTTTGCAGCTTTCTGGTAAGCTCCACTTTCTCCACATTTCTGTTGGACACTATAGGAATGCACATAGAGGGAAGGGAGTTGATGGGAAAGTTTTGGCACTCTCAGTAAGTACCAAAGCTTTGCCTGTCAGAACAAAATAAATAGAATAAACTTTGTCTTAGGTATCTTTAGTTCCCTTAGTTCTCATTAGGTCTTTTTTTTTTTGATTTGTTTCTTATAATAAATTATTAAAAAATATACTTTATATTCAATTTTAGAAGCTTGACATAGGGAAAAGTAGAATACAGTACTCCAGTTGTTCTACTATCATGGCCTGCCTCTTCCATGTCTGCAGATGGTGTAGAATTGAATCTGAATCCTCTTGGGGTAATATAATCACAATTTATGCACACACTGTATTTGGTAACTCCACACCAGAAGGCAAACAAGTCCCTACCACTAGTTCCTAATAACATGTTTGATAAGAGATTGCATGCTGCTTATTTTCCTTTGACCAATACAGTCCAATTTATAATCTTTGCCGTTAGCTAGTTATGCCTGAATAAATGTTACTTACTTGCATTTGGTTCTAGGTAAGAAGGCCCCCTTTAGAAGAATTTAAAGTGGATCTCCAGGTTGCAGGTTATGAATACTCCAACTAACCCCAGGGTAATCAGTGTGCAATGGCTTTATATTTTTGTGCATTCTAGGAATCTGAATGCCACTATTAAAGTTGCTGTCCCATAACCAACCCAGAAAAGAAGGCTTTCTCTGGTAGGGCAACAGATGGAGAGTAGTGACACTGCTCTCCTAAGAGTCGCTGTGGCATCCTAGCTGCAGGGAATGGGTGGAGGTTTTGTGTGTGGATGTAGCAGGCAATCCCCTTGACTTACAAATCACTACCATGCACAATAGAGTGAGGGTACATTTGTTGGGGCATCACAATTTATCACTGTACTGCTTTTCATTGAAATATTACACCCTGTTTGACGATGACACCACCTATAGACCAGAAAATGAGGGGGAGGAGAAAGTTCCTGAGAGTCAAGCTGTGGAAGAAGGAGCTGAATGATTCTGCATGTCCACCAGTTTGGAAATCAGTTATTGGCAGCGATGAAAGCTTGGGAACAAATATTCAGCCAAAATGTTTGAATTACAGCCTGTATGCTTGTTCCAGGTCAGTGACTTACTAAGTATAGAAAGAATCAAGATGACCAACCTGGAGGCTGAAGATGATTGTTCATACTATTATATCCAACTGTGTTCTATTTAACCGCTAGCCTACAGGGCACTTATACCCCCTTCCTGCCCAGGCCAATTTCCAGCTTTCAGCGCTGTTACGCTTTGAATGACAATTGTGCGGTCATACAACACTGTACCCATATGAAATTTTTATCATTTTTTTTTGTGACAGATAGAGCTTTATTTTGGTGGCATTTAATCACCTCTGAGATTTTTATTTTTTCTTAAACAAACCAAAAAAAACTAAAAGGTTTGGAAAAAAAAAAAAACATTTTTTCTTAGTTTTTGTTATAAAATTTTGTAAATAAGTGATTTTTCTCCTTCACTGATATGCGCTAATGAGGCTGCAGTGGTGGGCACTGATAGGCTGCACTGATGGACACTGATAGGTGGCACTGATGGGCACTGATGAGGAGGCACTGGTAGGTGGCACTGATGGGCATTGACAAACATTACTGATGGGCACTGAAAGGCGCACTGATACATGGCACTGATATATGGCACTGATAGGCAGAACTGATAGGCAGCACTGACTGGCACTGTTAGGCGGCACTGACTGGCACTGTTAGGCGGCACTGACTGGCACTGATAGGCGGCACTGATACGGCACTGATAGGCGGCACTGATACGGCACTGATAGGGGGGGCACTGGTGTACACTGATAGGCAGCACTGGTTGGCACTGATAGGCGGCACTGACTGGCACTGATAGGTGGCACTGATTGGCAGCACTGATAGGTGGCACTGATTTGCATTGATAGCTGGCACTGACTGGCACTGATGGGTGACACTGAAAGGCAGCTCAGATGGGCACTGATATGTGGCATTGATGTGCACTGGTAGGCACTGATATGTGGCATTGATGTGGCACTGATGGGCACTGGCACGAGGCACTGATGAGCACTGACTCAAGGCACTGATGGACACTGACAGGCGGCACTGCTGGGGCTACACTGATCATCAGGGCACACTGATCATCAGTGCCCTGATGATCAGTGTAGATGTCCCCTCTGTGGAAAGCTGATTACCGTCTCTCCTCTTCTCTCAGCGTGACAGCTCGAGAGGAGAGAGAAATGCCAATAACCGGCATTTCCCTGTTTACATGAGATCAGCTGTGATTGGACACAGCTGATTACATGACCGAGCCAACATCTTCGGCTCTTTCCCTGATCGGTGATTCGCTGTGTCCAAGGTACACAGCGCACCGCCGATCGCCGTGCTGCGCGCTCCCTGAGCCGCGCATGCGCGGTGAGAATGGGAGGACGTCATATGACATCCTCCCAGAACAAGAGAACCACCTTGCGCCCGTCATTGGACTATATGGCGGGCGGGAGGGTGGTTTAAAGAGACTCTGTTGTTACTTAAAAAAAAAAAAAATCTAGAAAGGTCACCCTGCAAGGGGTTAATACTTACCCTTCTTCACCTGATTCCACCAAACTCCACAATCTTCAAATGACTTACAATGATTCATGCCAGCCTTTCTCAACCAGGTTGCCCAGGCACCTTGGGGTGCCTTCAGGTGTCCTCATGGGTGCACTGGGAAAATGTCTAAAAATTGCCCCAAAATTGTATACAAGCCAGCGGAAGGATCAAGCCTGCATTTTAGTTACACAGCACCACAGGTTTTCATTTTGCACCATTACAACCTTCTAGCCGCCAGCATGCTAACAATCAATGATGTCATCAGTTGATAAGGAGGACATCAGGCTCCTGCACAACATTTTTTGCCTCTCCCCTGCCTCTCTCCATCAGCACTAGGGTCACATTAACTGGGTGAGGGAGAGAAACTAAGGGAGAAGAGAAACATTGGAATAATAGTCAGTACCAGTGTCCAGAGGTTCATTTGCTTTGGAAGAATAAATCACCTCTGATGTTGGGTGCCCTGTGTGTGTACATGTTACTGTGTTATGTAAAAATATTAGTTTCGTTTTTTACATTTTAGAATGGGTTTGCCTCAGTATTGTGCATAATTTTAAGGGGTGCCTTGACTGAAAAAAGGTTGAGAAATACTGACCTATGTATTGGATGCAGCTCCAATTTATGTCTAATACTTCCACCACAGCTGTACCCTACATTACATCTGTGTTCTGCAGTGATATAGGGGGGGCCAGCAGAAGGAACCACAGAGAGCAGAGGGGAACCAGGCATCTAACATGCCAGAAAGTGTTGGTTATGGCATCTTGAGCTAGATGTCTGAAAACCAAGGGGACTGGTGTTGCCAAAGAGGTAAGACACTTGACCATTTTATTTGCAGGGGAGCATTTCTTACAACTTTATTGTTTGAGGCAGGTAGGACACTTAAAACTCTAGTGCTAGAACGACATCTCTGGGATCCCCAATACCGATAAGTCAATCCATCCGCTTCCACCAGAACTACACATACACTTGCAAGATCATAATACACCACATGTAGAGTAATAGGTTTCAGCATTATAGTAACATTTAACTTACCAATTATACTTGAAGGTTTTTTCCAACTTTACTAGATGGGTTAATGACTGCTCCACCACAGCAGACATCCACTCATTGACTCGACCTTCATCATAATCCACTCCACCTAGGATGACGTCCACACACTGGATAAAAGCAACAAATACCATCAATCCAATAATACTGTAAACCAAGAAACAGCCCCCCCCCCCCACGTATATGCGCATATGTGTATAACTGCATGCACTGCCTGTGGCTATGTACAAAAACAATGAGGTGAGTACCATTATTCATGGTTAACTCTAACCTGATGACCTCTAAGGGCTTTTAAAGCGCCACCTATGCATAAAAAGACACAGACAATTTAAGACTTTACAAATTTGGTATCTATTTACTTGGCACATACAAATCTTTTACATTAAAAAAATGGCTAATATACCACTTTTATGTACACTAAAATTACTGTCACTGGTTTTTTTTTTACTGAAAATTTGCTTTTAAAAAACTGTTGCGCCGATATTGTGTGACATACGAAGTTTGGAACTATAACCATTTTATTATCTAGGTTCTCTGCTTTCAGGAAATACTGTATTGGGTGTTTTAACCAGTCCTCGGGGCTAAAATATATTTTAAACATGTGTGCAAAAAACATCTGACAGTAAAAGGGTTTAAACACCAAGATGTCCAGCAAAAGTAGCAGTTCCAGGGGTGAGACGAATGCTATTTTTTATTTTCAATAATAAAAAACTGTTGCTGCTACAACTGTTTAAGACAGCGGTTCTCAACCTGGGGGTCGCGACCCCTTTGGGGGTCGAAACGACCATTTCCCAGGGGTCGCCTAAGACCATCGGAAAACACATATTTCCGATGGTCTTAGGAACCGAGACACCGCTGCAGTCTCCGCCGATGTGTGGGCGGGATGATACGCTGCTGTCACCTGGCCACACCTCCGGGATCGCTCAGCAGCTCCGCCTCCTCGCCGCTGATTGGCCACCGGAACTGTAGCTCAGGAGAGGCACACAGGCGGCCAATCACCGGCGAGGAGGTGGAGCTTGGAGAGGAGGAGCCGAGCGGCAGCGCGCGTACATCAAAGAAGACCGAGGGAGCTGCCGGAGCGAGTGAAGAGGAGAGCGGCCCAGAGAAGGAAGACAGCTGACAGGTAAGTGAGAGAGCGAGCCCAGGCTGGAGCAGGGGGTCAGCAAAGTAAGTATCATTGGTGTCAGTGGGAGGAATAGTGCCCCATCATTGGTGTCACTAATACCAACGATGGGGCACTATTCCTCCCCCCACTGACACCAACGATGGGGCACTATTCCTCCACCCACTGACACCAACGATGTGGCACTATTCCTCCCCCCACTGACACCAACGTTGTGGCACTATTCCTTCCCCCACTGACACCAACGATGTGGCACTATTCCTCCCCCCACTGACACCAACGATTGGGGCACTATTCCTCCCCCCACTGACACCAACGATGGGGCACTATTCCTCCCCCCACTGACACCCCAACAATGGGGCACTATTCCTCCCCCCACTGACACCAACAATGGGGCACTATTCCTCCCCCCACTGACACACAACGATGGGGCACTATTCCTCCCCCCACTGACACCAACGATGGGGCACTATTCCCCCCCCCCCCCCCCCCCCCTGACCCCAATGATGGGGCACTATTCCTCCCCTCCACCACACTGACATCAATGATGGGGCACTATTCCTCCCCACTGACACCAAATGATGGGGCACTATTCCTCCCCCCCACTGACACCAACGATGGGACACTATTTCCCCCCCCCCCCCCTGACACCCAATGATGGGGCACTATTCTCCCCTTCCCCACACTGACATCAATGATGGGGCACTATTCCTCCCACTGACACCAATGATGGGGCACTATTCCTCCCACTGACACCAATGATGTGGCACTATTCCTCCCACTGACACCAGTGATGGGGCACTACTCCCACTGACACCAGTGATGGGGCACTACTCCCCCCACTGACACCAGTGATGGGGCACTATTCCTCCCACTGACAATGATGGGGCACTACTCCCCCCACTGACACCAATGATTGGGGCACTACTCCCCCCCACTGACACCAATGATGGGGCACTATTCCTCCCACTGACACCAATGATGTGGCACTATTCCTCCCACTGACACCAGTGATGGGCACTACTCCCCCCACTGCCACCAGTGATGGGGCACTACTCCCCCCCACTGACACCATGATGGGGCACTACTCCCCCCACTGACACCAATGATGGGGCACTACTCCCCCCACTGACACCAATGATGGGGCACTACTCCCACCCCCACTGACACCAATGATGGGGCACTACTCCCCCCACTGACACCAATGATGGGGCACTACTCCTCCCACTGACACAATGATGGGGCACTACTCCTCCCACTGACACCAATGATGGGGCACTATTCCTCCCACTGACACCATGATGGGGCACTATTCCTCCACTGACACCAATGATGTGGCACTAACTCCTCCCACTGACACCAGTGATGGAGCACTACTCCTCCCACTGACACCAGTGATGGGGCACTACTCCCCCCACTGACACCAGTGATGGAGCACTACTCCCCCCACTGACACCAGTGATGGGGCACTACTCCCCCCCCACTGACACTGATGGGGCACTACTCCCTCCCACTGACACCAATGATGGGGCACTATTCCTCCCACTGACACCAACGATGGGGCACTATTCCTCCCACTGACACCAACGATGGGGCACTATTCCTCCCACTGACACCAACGATGGGGCACTATTCCTTCCCCCACTGACACCAACGATGGGGCACTATTCCTCCCACTGACACCAACGATGGGGCACTATTCCTCCCACTGACACCAACGATGGGGCACTATTCCTCCCACTGACACCAACGATGGGGCACTATTCCTCCCACTGACACCAACGATGGGGCACTATTCCTCCCACTGACACCAACGATGGGGCACTATTCCTCCCACTGACACCAGTGATGGGGCACTATTCATCCCACTGACATCAGTGATGGGGCACTATTCCTCCCACTGATACCAACGATGGGGCACTATGCATCCCACTGACATCAGTGATGGGGGCACTATGCATCCCACTGACATCAGTGATGGGGCACTATTCCTCCCACTGACACCAGTGATGGGGCACTATTCATCCCACTGACATCAGTGATGGGGCACTATTCCTCCCACTGATACCAACGATGGGGCACTATTCCTCCCACTGACATCAGTGATGGGGCACTACTCCTTCCACTGACACCAATGACGTGGCACTACTCCTCCCACTGCAAAATTACAGTTATGAATAGCAATGGAAATAATTTTATGGTTGGGGGTCACCACAACATGAGGAACTGTATTAAGGGGTCGCGGCATTAGAAAGGTTGAGAACCACTGTTTAAGAGATCTTGTACATTTGCCCATACAATGTACACATACATACATGTGTATTTTGGTGCCAGGGATGTCCTGATGCTGCACACAGCCACCAACAGAAATGACTGGGTGAAGGCGCCTATATGTAGCTACATGCTGCTATTTACTCAAAATGTTGCATTCGCACAGACATAATGTCCTTAATGCACATTACCTGCAGTCAAGACATTACATCTGTGCGCATGCACCACGTTATGCAATTAGTGACACGTAGCAGCACACAGCTCTAGCAGTGCTGGGATCTCATCCTGTCCTCCAATGATCAGACTTCTGCTGACACGCCCCCTGCACAGCCATTCACTGGGAAGATCAGTGTTATGCTGTTTCTCCACCCCCAGCTCTCTGAGCTCCTTATGCAGCTGAGAACAGAGGATATATGATCACTTGTTAAAAAAAAAGAAAGTTTTTTTTAATATCTATACACAAATGTTTTGCCTTTCATTTCTATTTTAACCTCCTGGAGCCCCCACAGTGCATTTACTGCTGTGGGACAGCATGGGCATGCTCAATCACATACACATACATGACTGGTTGCTTCTAAGTCTGTGGGCATGCAAATGTGCATCCCCTGCCGACCCACTCTGTGATTGGACACAGAGTGATTTTGTCAAATTTATTGGCTGAAACCTGCTGATCGGCTGTGTCCAATCACAGCCCAGAGACCTGTGTAAACAGAAGAGTGATCTTGCTGTTTCTTCTCCCTGAAAAGCAGGGAGAAAAGCACAGCAAGATCTGCAAGTAAAAGCAGCATGTATTACACACATTCCGCATTGTTAGGCACACAGTTAACTCCTTGATCGCCCTTAGATGTTAACCCCTTCCCAGCCAGTGTCTATACTACAGTGACAGTGTACAGTATTGGCACTGATCACTGTCTTAGTGTCACTGTTGATGTTAATGTCAGTTAGTTAGTGTCTGTCCCAGCCAGTGTCAGCTAGCACCAGATTAACCACCACACTGTCCTACCATAAGTCGCTGATCACTGCTATTATTAGTATAGGGTCATAGCTGCGTAAATTCAAGTATATACACCATAGTTTGTAGACGCTATAACTTTCGCACAAACCAATTAATATACACTTATTGGGATTTTTTTTTTACCAAAAACATGTAGCAAAATACATTTTGGTTTTACATATGCTAGTGACCTACTGACAAACTATTTTGTTCATAGTTCCACTTTAAGTCAATTAGCATAATTGTTTTTTTTGGTTGCGCTAAAAAGAAACAGACCCTACTTCGCATACTTGGTATGCTGCCTCTCAGTGCTTGGAAACAATTTTTTAATTAAATTTTGCTTGCCTATTTATCGCAAATGTAAAAAAAAACACAGCTAATACAGCTCTGCAGAAAAAGATTTTCTAAAGTATTATTTATGGAAATCTAGTATTCAGCCTCATTTCAATGCCTGAGTTCTAAGTCCCGGGAAATGAATAGCACTATTGTTTGATCCAGCTGGGCAATGTGCAATGTTTATTTCAGAGATACAAAGTCTGTATTATATTTACTTCACATACTACGTCTTCAGATTTAGCCAGTATAAAACGTATACATTATAAATAAAATGACATTTACAAAAAAAAAGTATACATTACAACTGTACAGGACAGACATTACATTGAAATATTGCTTCAAATACAGAAAATAAACTACATATCAATCCCTCGTTAAATGTATAG